AAAAAAAAAAAAAAAAAAAAAAAAAAAAAAAAAAAAAAAAAAAATTACAATGGGTTGAATTGAGTTCGTTATTTAATAAAAATGATTCGAGTTTGAAAATTTTGGATTGAATCAAAAACAAACCCACTCATCCTTTCCTTTCATGAAGATCCCATTGTACCAAACCCACTTGAAAGGATCATTAAAGGAGTTAGTTTTGTTCATTCATCACAAAGTCAAAGTCAATGGCCAAAAATAGCTCTCTCTATTTTTTATTTATTTATACATAATAAATGCATTGCTTTAGAAGAATGGGCTCTCATATATTTTATAAAATTAGATGCATTGAGACTCCTTTATCCTTACACTCATTTTAAATGTAGTTGGTTCATTGATTTAAGGAGAGTATTAAATGATGTCATAAAGATTACTTTTCAATTGGAACTATACAAATTATCATTTAATATTTTTAAAAAAATATTTTTTTTTCTTTTGAGTTCGTTGAATATAATTGATATTTTATCAATCGGTGATGTTGAAGTTTATGATAATCAGAGAAATAATATTGGGATACAATTACGAAGCAAAATACAAAAGACTCAAAATATAAAGATGGATTCATGCTTCGAAATGACATCTATGTGACCACACAACTCTAGAATGCTTACCCATCTCGAGCAGCAGCTTGCAAACACTTGAAAAAAAGAGAGGAAAAGGGTAAGTATAAAAATCTCAATAAGCAATCTACTTGTAGACTATTATCACATCTAGGCTCTAGGAAGTTTGGGTCTAGTTCAACTATCTGAGCTTTTGGAAAGGCCTCAAAGTTTCTAGTGGTTCTCTTACATGTCATAGACCTTGTAGGGGTTGAGAGCCGTTCAACAAGTTCTAGCGTCACGACGAATCTCATCTCATTCTGATTTCATGCTTAGTATGCTTACATAGCATTAACAGTGATTGCTCAGTATCTTGAGTTGAGGCATTACCTCGTAAAATATGTTAAAGCAGTATGACATCTAGTTAGTCCAAACATCATCGGTGGAAAGTTAGTTGATAACCCTTCCAGAGGGCCATAGAGTCACTTGAAATTTAAGGAGAACGACCTCGTGTGCTGGCCAACTACTAAGTTTAACTGTGTGATTTCATGTGCCATCCTCAAGTACAGATTTACGGTGGTGCGACCCTATTTAGGAGGCCCAACACCATGTTCACATTCACTAGAGGCACTCATCATGAGTCTACTGTTAGGTTATGGAGCCTGATGCATATTTATAGCTTGGTCAACGGTTATATCCGGTAAAGCCATATTTGGTAAATCTATATATGGTAAATAGCTATATATAGTAATGTTAAATCTGGTAAAGCTATATATAGTAAATTGAACTATATATATACACGTCCGGTAGAGCTTTGAAAATGTACTTTCTATTCTCTGTACTCTCTCTTACTATACATACATGAAGTCATCAATAAAAACAAATCCTTTTAGCCAGAGTTCTCCTTGCACCTTTCTCTATCCCATTCTTTGTGTTCATCTAGATCGAGCATGTGCGTTGTTGTGCGATCCTAACAACTGGTATCAGAGCTAACAACTGGTATCGATCCCAACAAATGGTATCAGAGCCAGGCGGAAGTTAGAGCTAGGTGAAATTCACCTCGATCCGTGAAGATGGAAAGTTCAAAGATTGGAATTGAGAAGTTCGATGGATCCGATTTCGGTTTCTGGAAGATGCAGATTGAAGATTATCTGTACCAGAAAGATCTTTATGAACCTCTGTTGGGGGTGAAGCCGGATACCATGACCACAAAACAGTGGAAGCTCAAGGATCGACAAGCCTTGGGGCTGATCCGATTGACACTATCCAGAAACGTGGCGTTCAACATTATCAAGGAGAAGACAACGTCAGGTCTGTTGAAGACGCTGTCGAATATGTCTGAAAAACTGTCGACTATGAACAAGGTGTATTTGTTGCGGAGATTGTTATGAGTCCTTGTGAGAACTGCGTTACGAGCAAACAGAAACGAGTTAGCTTCACAAAGACTGTTAGAGAATTGAAGAAAGTACCGAAAGCGTCGCCGAAACTCCAGAGGAGGTTGCGTCGGCCGGAAGCGTCGCTGAAACTCTAGAGGGGGTTGCGTCGGCCGGAAGCATCGTTGAAGCTCCAGGGGCGGTTGCGTCGGCCGGAAGCGTCGCTGAAGCTCCAGAGAGGGTTGCATCGGCCGGTTGCATCGCTAAAACTCTAGAGGGAGTTGCGTCGAACGGTTGCGCCGCCGAAACTCCAGAGGGGGTTGCGTCGGCCGGAAGCGTCGCTGAAGCTCTAGAGGGGGTTGTGTCGGCCGGAAGCGTCGTTGAAGCTCCAGAGGGGGTTGCGTCGGCCGGAAGCGTCGTTGAAGCTTCAGGGGCGGTTGCATCGACCGGAAGCGTCGCTGAAGCTCCAGGGGGGTTGCGTCGGCCGGAAGCGTCGCTGAAGCTCCAGAGGGGGTTGCGTCGGTCAGAAGCGTCGCTGAAGCTCCAAATGGGGTTGCGTCGGTCGGAAGCGTAGCTGAAGCTCTGAGAGGGTTCGTCGGTCGAAAGCGTCGTTGAATCTCCGAGGGGGTTGCGTCGGTCGGAAGCGTCGCTGAAGCTCCGAGGGGGTTGCGTCGGCCGGAAGCGTCGCTGAAGCTCCAGGGGGGATTGCGTCGGTCGGAAGCGTCGCTGAAGCTCTAGGGGGGTTGCGTCCGCAGGAAACGTCGCTGAAACTCCAGGGGCGGTTGCGTCGGCCGAAAGCGTCACTGAAACTCCAAAGGCGGTTGCGTCGGCCGGAAGCGTCGCTGAAACTCCAGAGGGGGTTGCATCGGCCAGAAGCGTTGCTGAAACTCTAGAGGGGGGTTGCGTCGGCCGGAAGCGTCACTGAAACTCCAGAGGGGGGTTGCGTCGACCGGAAGCGTCACTGAAACTCCTAAGGTGATTGCGTCGGTCGGAAGCGTCGCTAAAACTCTAGAGGGGGTTGCGTCGGCCAGAAGTGTCGCTGAAACTCTAGAGGGGGTTGCGTCGGCCGAAAGCATCGCTGAAGCACCAGACGTAAAGCGAGTTGGAGTTGAGGTTGAGTTGCTCAAAGATTCACAGAGTGATGTTGTAGCGGATACTCATGAAACTCCTGAGACTCTTGCTGAGAAACCAGAGGTGAAGCAAGTGGGAGTTGAGGTTGAGTTGCTGAAAGATTCACATAGTGATGTTGTAACAGATACTCAAGAAACTCCTGAGACTCATGCTGTTGGCGAGGAACCCTATCTATCATTCAAAACACAGAAGGCGATACCATTTCACTCAGAGGTTAGTTGAAGATGGTGACATGTTTGGAGAAGATAGAGGATGCAAAGAATCCAGCAAATATGTTGATGTTGGAATATTGAGGTTGTGCAAAATCTCAATTGGTATGGTGCAATGAAGATGCTCATGGTCGTTTGAGAGTGAAATTCTTGGTTGACTAGATCAGTCTCCAAGTGGGAGAATTGTTAGGTTATGGAGCCTGATGCGTATTTATAGCTTGGTCAACGGTTATATCCAGTAAAACTATATCTGGTAAAGCTATATCCGGTAAATCTATATATGGTAAATAGCTATATATAGTAGATGTTAAATCTGGCAAAGCTATATATAGTACTCTGAACTATATATATACTCGGTAGAGCTTTGAAAATGTACTTTCTATTCTCTATACTCTCTCTTACTATACATACTTTTAGCCAGAGTTCTCCTTGCACTTTTCTCTATCCCATTCTTTGTGTTCATCTAGATCGAGCATGTGCGTTGTTGTACGATCCTAACAACTAGTATCGATCCCAACATCTACTACCTGTGTAGTCCCAAGTATGTTTTCATGATCGGTTTGTAGAATTGCGGTCTTAGTCTTTATCCCATAACTACACTTAATTGGAGCACTCACTCTAAGCCATCTACCTGTGTAACTCCAAATCTTTTCCAAGGCTAGTTTACAGAATTGTAACTTCTTCCTTACTCATTTGTACACTCAATAGAAGTCCTCATCTCGAACTAACCACCCATGTAGTCCCAAGTCCCTCTTCAAAATCAAATTACGTGATTGCAACGTCAGTCTTGACTCAACCCTACACTCAATAGTAGCTCAAGTGAGTTCAGGGTTCTAGTGATATTGTTCATACTATTGTTAAGCTTGTTAAGCTTTCTTAATCATTCTTAGATGTCATGGAGGTTTATTAGGTTCTTGGGACATCTAGGTGATTTAGTCCTTATCTCGCGGTTTTTAGGATTCTTGGGGTTAGCTCCTCGAGGCTAGTCCAATCTCTGGGTGCACCCAAGTCTAGACATATGATCGCTACTCATAATCCTAGAGTGCTCGATCTATTAGAAATGTACTGGCCTAGGTTAACATGTAAACCTCTCTAGGTCTAGTGCCCTAATGTTAGCTTTGTTCAGTCATGCATTCTTTGTTAGGAAGATATTTCTATCAATCACCAAAAGCACGAAAAATATAATCTACTCATTAATGCATGCTTATTAGGCAGATATTCATATCAACAAGTAAGGAAATCATAATCTAAACATTCAAACAAACACAATTTGGAAATAACACCCATTAGTCACGCAGACCACATATTATAGTATCTTATCCTTCATTCTAGCATAACAGAAAACATAAAAATCTGTATCGATCATAAATTCTCATCCTAGGGGTATTTCATTAATTTTCCTTAACATATATAGCATTTTCATCCAAATAACCCTTTTAGAGTCCTAAACATGCATAATCTACCACTTAAGGCAAGATATGCTCGAATGCTAGTATGTCCTTGTGCAAACATTACTTTAGAAGCTTAAGAATGATTATTTATATGGATGACGCATGCCTTGTCGAGCTAGCTTTTCCTTGTGTTAGGAGCTTCAAATTTTCTAAAATTTCTCTAGTAGAACCTAATTCAAATCATAATGAAGTTTACATCGAAATCAGAGAAGAACAATCGAATAGAGGTCAAAACATGTAAAAATTGGAATGATACAGAGGTGATTAGCATGGCCGCTATAGAAGGATGAGACACACCAATTGAAAAATGGTCCAAACTTTTTTATAAATCAGAGTGGGTGTAGTGGAAGCGTGGTGGGCCCATAACCCGTAGGTCTAACGTCAGCACATGGATGTCTTATGTTCATACACAAAAATTGTAATAAAGACAACAATCTTTTAAGCTGAGGCCAACCCTTCAGCTCGACCAGGCATAAACGACTCATAACTCTACTTTTGGCATGGTTTCCACCATTTCGACCCTCTCGTACCTATTTTCAGCCCCATTAAGGTAATATAAGCCATTTTCGAGCCGTATTTTACTTTTATTAAATTATTATTAATTTAATTCTGAAATACTAATGAAAGGTGGCAAATGGTGTGATAGGAAATAAAACCTCAGCAACGTTGGGAGCAGCTCTCAAGAAACGGGAGCTTACATTTAGCTTAGTCAGGGAGTACTTCAGCTCGACTAGGCGTAAACGGCTTATAGCGATGCTCTGGCAGCTTTACGACTGTTTCGGCTTGGCTCACCAATTTTCGACTCGATTTCCACCATTTCGACCCTCTCGAACCCGGTTAAGGTAATTGAGACCATTTTAGAGTCGTATTTCACGTTTATTAAATTATTATTAATTTAATTGTGAAATACTAATGAAAGATAGCAAATGGTGTGATAGGAAACAAAACTTCGGCAACGTTGGAAGCAACTCTCAAGGAACGAGAGCTTACGTTTAGCTAGTTAGGGAGTACTTTAGCTATGGTCAACCAAGTAAGTGACCTTACTATAGGATATACTACAATTGTTTGCTTTACAGTTTTATTTACGAGCATGATGATGTATGTATACGATGTTTATGATGATGAATGAGTATGATACTTGAGCTGCGATGCATGTTATTTGTACGTGATTTATGTTTTGATGCATGACGTACATATTATGTTTGATGCTCTTGATGACTTATTATTGATGAGTATGATGTTTCATGACATTTTCTTAATATGATGATGTTTTTCATATTCAGCATGCTATATGATGATGATTTTTCATGCTATTGTTAAGCTTACTTTATCATTCTTAGATGTCATGGAGGCTTATTGGGTCCTTAGGGGTATCTAGGTGATTTAGTCCTCATCTCGCATTTTTTATGATGCTTGGGGTTAGCTCTTTGGGGGATAACCTAATCTGTGGGTGCACTCAAGTCTAGACATATGATTGCTACTCATAATCCTAGAGTGCTCAATCTATTAGAAATGTATTGACCTAGGTCAACATATAAACCGCTCTAACTCTAGTGCCCTAATCTTAGCTTAGATCACTCATGCATACTTTGTTAGGAAGATATTTCTATCAATCATGCATGCTTATTAGGGAGATGTTCCTATCAACTAGCAAGGGAATCACAATCTAAACATTCAAGCAAACTCAACGGGGAAATAATACTCATTAGTCACCCAGACCATATATCATAATATCTTATCCTCCATTCTAGCACAACGGAAAACATAAAAATCAATATGCATCATAAACTCTCATCATAGGGTATTTTGTTAATTTTCTTTAACATATATAGCATTTTCATCCAAGATATGCTCGCATTCATAATGACTATTTATATGGATGACGCATGCGTTGCTAAGCAAGCTTTTTCATGTCTTAGGAGCTTCAAATTTTTTTAAATTTCTCTAGTATAACCTAATTCAAATCATAATAACGTTAACATCAAAATTGGGGAAAAACAATCGAATAGAAGTTAAAATGGGTAAAAATTAGAACGATACAGAGAAGATTAGCATGGCCCCTGTGGAAAGATGACACACACAAATCGAGAAATAGTCTAAATTTTTTATATATCAGAGTGGCGCAGCGGAAGCGTGGTGGGCCCATAACCCACAGGTCCCAGGATCGAAACCTGGCTCTGATATGATGCAAAACTCAATTCAGCCACATGCTACTTCTATATTTTAGGTAAAGGGTGTATGCATAGAGGGTAGATTGTATTTAAATTATGATGTTTAAATTATGAAGATGATTTAATTGATTATTTTAGCATAAGAAGTTACGATTTAGAGTCCTTACATGAAACTTAAAGGATGGAGGACGACTTTATGTAAGTGTGGCCACTATTGGATTCAAACCTTCGGTCGGCATCTGAACCGAAAACGAAAACCTTCATGAGATATGCTTTATTTAGTTCCCTAATTCTAACGAAAACCTCAATTTTAAGTAAAATTAGCTAAAAACGAGAGTTTGAGTTTTATCCCCCAAAACTTGCATGATATTGAATTTCTCTAATTGGGCACTCTTGGAGTAATCCCTTTGAGGTCTTCTATGGAAATGTTTCTTGGAGGTGCAGAAACCGATTGGGATAGGTCTCACATGACTAATTCATGCGTAACATCGAATTGAAATTTTGGATTCCTTAAATGGCGTCTCAAATTTGGGAAATATATTGGGGGCATACCAAAATTGTGGTTAATCTTATTTAGAAAGTATAGAAACAAGTTTGGAGGGAAATGATGGACTATAGCTCTCGAATTTGGAAGGAACATGAGAACTCAAAACCCAAAAAATGAAAAGCTTATAACTCGTGATTGAAGGATCGGTGTTGCTTGTTTCTTGCTCCAAATGAACGCACATGGCTCATTTTGAAACGTCTAGAACCGCCCTGATTTTGCAGTTGATCGTTTTGGATCTTTTGCAAGAAAATCCCATGCAGATTAGAGATTTGTCGAAATTAGTTTTGAATTCCAGCCGTTGGATTTGATGATCGAACGTTCTAGATCATATCCAATCTAGAGGGAGATTCAACGGCTAGATTTCAAAATACTATGAATTATGTGCACGGAGGATTTAATTTTGTCATCCATGACAATTTCATGATTCTTTTAAACTTTATAAATAAGGTATTTACCACTTTCTAAAAATTTTAATATTATTTTTCTCCGGTTATCTCGTTCTCTCTCAAATTTCTTTTTGTATCTTCGTTGCAGATGGTCTAAGAGGCTTGGGCTGAAGGATGAAGATCGTCTAACTAAAGATTGGCGTTTGGAGAGGGGTGTGGGGCGTGGTTCTGTGTGGAATCCGAAAAACACACCAATCACTAGAAAACTCGCAAGTTTTCCGGTAACTGAGTTTTTTTTTTATTATTTTTTTATTTTTTAAATTTGATTCGTTAGATTAGAAAAGTCTTTTTTACCTCTCAAATTTGTTGAAAATTGAACAAATAGATATTTTGAATAAAAATAGATGTTTTGTTTATTGAGTTATGCTCGTGTTAATTTTAAATAATATGTTAATATGTTGAATACCTTATCTTATAATTTTTAATGTCCTCAAAGTTTCTAGTGGTTCTCTTACATGTCATAGACCTTATGTATGTCTAACAATGTTTTCTAGCGGTTTGATGTGTTTCTAGTGGTTCTCTTACATGTCATAGGCCTTGTGTAACGACCTTAAATTTCTACATACTCAGAGTCGCTATTAAAGTCTCATGCTCATTTTTAATGCAGAAATATAACTCTTAAAAGAAAACATCATCCATAATATAAATGTGAAAACATTTAAAACATCTTCTCTGGAAAATACGGATGGTTTGACCTCTTTAAATACGAAAGAGTGAAATTTAGAGAAAATAAAAACAAATACAAAATAATTTAAATCCATGAAATGCAAAACAATCTATTGTAACCTAAGACTAGGAATTTAAATATGAGTATACCTTATGCACATGTCACGGTCTCTGCTCGCGATGTCGCCGTTCTTTGTACATGTGTGTCCTGCCTTTACCTGAAAAATGATGTGGCACACGGCCTGAGTATTTCGAAAAATACTCCGTAAATGGCCCCACTCCAAGGGGCCATGCAAATGCAAACCCATCCAATCATGTTCTAGGGAACTATCTCTATTCTCATCTAAGTGTGGCCTCTGGTCTCAGACTACTCTGGATGTGTAGTACTTCTTTACACACCACCCACACGTGCGAGTGTGAATCCCCAAGTGGGCTCGCACACCCCCTAGACCCTTTCTGGTCACTAATTTATAGCGATGTCTAGAGGTCAGCGAAACCCCTGGTGTCATGCTCCCCATGAACACCCTCATCATCATATTGTGCGTGTCCACACTCAGCATCTTTGGGGAAGTATCGCTTATGAACACACAACATGCATGAGGTCCCGCTAAATTTCATCTTATCATCTCTTCTGACACAACCCTCTACTCTCATCTCATTGTTACATTAAGTAACACATGTTCGTTTGATATTTATATTACCATCATTTTCATGCTCTTAGAGTTCTGTCCTATGTTGGTCTATCAACATGATGCATGCTCTTAGAGTTGTGTCCTATGTTGGTCTATCAACATGATGCAATATGACACTCATCTGCATACAACATTTTCAATATAACAGACATCGTCTTATTAAGATAAATATCATTCAATCATCATACTCATCATATCGCCATAAAGTGCATCAAACATATCAAGTACGTCATACATCAAAATATATATATTACGCACATCATCATGCATCATAATTCAAGCATTATCATAACTCATACATCATCATATACTCATGCATCATCATATACCAGTGTATGACATCATACAATACAACTTATACATCATCATAGCTGATACATCATAAATTGCAACTCATACAATTTATAGTCTATCCTAAAGTAAAGTCACTTACTTGGTTGGCCTTAGTCGAAGTATTCCCTAATTTAATTTAACGTAAGCTCTCGTTCTTTGAGAGCTTCTCTAAAGCTTGCCGAGGTTTGCTTCCTATCGCACCATTCGTCACCTTTCATTAGTGATATGAACCAAGAGACATCAATCTTACAATATACTTCAATGAAGATGTGAAGAAAATATTGTTGAAATTATCAAAAGATATTTCAATTCATGCCACATTGATGAAGAATGAAATTTCATGTTATAAAAATGATAAGATAAGGAATCACTACAAGGGGACTAAGATTCGAATTACCTTGTTGATCGAATATCTCAAGGCAAGAACATTGTTTGAGATTCGAATCACTCCACAAGTAAGATCAATCATGTCTAGCTTGAATGATTCTTGTTGATCAAGTATCTCAAGGCAAGAACACTTGATTGAGATTCGAATCACTCCACAAGGAAGATTGATCATGTCGAGCTTAAATGATTATACATGCAATCTAAACTACATAGAATTGCAAAGAAATTTAGTCATTGGCTAAAGAAAAGCACAAATGCTTCTTTTATTGTATTTTCCAAATCTCCTTACAAATACAACCTACATGGTTTTATATAGCCTCAAAATAAAACTATTAAAGGCATTACGAGAGTGGTAACATTCATACTTATTGGCCATAATTAACCATTATATAATTGTAACCTAATGTAAATAAAAAAAAGTCATAAAATACATTAATGAAATACAATAACTCTAAATTACTCTAAATTATAATCCACCCAAAATTTATAACATGAAATTTCATTCTTCATCAATGTGGCATGAATTGAAACATCTTTTGATAATTTCAACAATATTTTCTTCACATCTTCATTGAAGTATATGGTAAGATTGATGTCCCTTGGTTCATATCAATTAGTATTTCAAATTGTAATTAATAATCCAACTAACAATCTGAAATATGACTTTAAATAGTCTCAATTACCTTAATCGAGGCTGAAAATAAGTTTGAGAGTGTCGAAACAGTGGAAACAGGGTCAAAAATTGAAAGCCGAGACGAATACGCCAGGAGCTGCTGCCAAGCCGTCCAAGCCGCTCAAGGAGAAGGGTTGCTTGCAACTTGACAGCATATGAGCGGGCTACGACAGCGCAGCGAAGACGGGTCGAGGCACGGGTTGCAGATCGGGTTGGGGGTTGAGTCGGGTCAAGCGCTGCTGTCTGGCCAATCGGGCTGGGCTAAAATTTTGGGATTACTGGGCCGAGATAAGTGGGCCTCAACTCTGGAGTTTGCAGGTGGGTTGCTTGTGGTTCACGAGCATGGGTCGCAGGTATTGCAAACGCTTGTCGTGGGTTAAGGTTGGGCTGGGCCGCTACGTTTTGGGTTGCAGTTGTAGGCTTACTTGGCTGCTATGGAGTTGGGATGAACCTATGCGGTTTGGGTCGCAGTTATCCAATTCGGGTCAGACCTGGATCTGACGGGTCTCTTCTTCCTTACCCGATTCCTGCGCCATTTTAGGCGAACTCTCTCTCTCCTTCACGCGACGTTTGCCGACGTCTTTTCTCCCCTTTTTCTCTCCCCTTTTTCTCTCCCTATCTCTCTGTCGACTTCTCCTCTTCTCTCCCAGGAAGTTTCATAGTTGCTGGACATCCGTGGAGGTAGATCCGAGGTTTCTCAAAAACTCGATTTATGGGTTCCTTGTCCGACGGTTATGGCGATGACGACACGACTTTTGCAGGTGTCTTGGTCGTGGTCGTGTGGGATTCGAAGATTCCACCAGTCGCCGAAATTTTTGTGTCCTAACCGGCGACCTTGGGTTTTATTTTTAACTTCTCAATCGTTACACCTTCTTGGGGCCTGAGAGCCATTCACCAAGTTTTAGTATTGGGTTGCGGCATTAACTCATAAAATATGTTAGGATAGTATGTCACATCTAGCTAGTCCAAACATCATTCGTGGAAAGTTAGTATACAACCCTTCTACAAGGCCAAAATGTTACTTGAAATTTGAGGAGAAAGACCTCGTGTGCTGGCCAACTGCTAGGTTTAGCTGTGTGGTTTCACGTGTCATGCTCAAGTACGGATTTACGGCGGTGCAACCCTATTCAGGAGGCCTAACGTCATGTTCACATTCACTAGGGGCACTCATCATGAATCTACTACCTGTGTAATTCCAAGTTCGTTTTCATGATCGGTTTATAGAATTGTAGTCTTAGTGTTTATCTCATTCCTACACTTAATGGAAGCATTCACCCTATGCTATCTATCGATGTAACCCCAAATCTTTTCCGAGGCCGATTTACGAAACCGTAACTTCTTCCTTACCCCTTTGTACACTCAATATAAGTCCTCATTTCAAGCTAACTACCCATCTAGTCCCAAGTCCCTCTTCAAGATCAGTTTACGTGATTGCAACGTCAACTTTGACTCGGCCCTATCCTCAATAATAGCTCAAGTGGGTTCAGGGTTCTAGTGATATTGTTCATACTATTGTTAAGCTTGTTAAGCTTTCTTAATCGTTCTTAGATGTGGTGGAGGTTTATTAAGTCCTTGGGGGCATCTAGGTGATTTAGTTCTCATCTCACGTTTTTCAGGATGCTTGGGGTTTGTTCATCGGGGCTCCTCCAATCTCTGGGTGCACTCAAGTCCAGACATATGATTTCTACTCATAATCTTAGAGTGCTCAATCTATTAGAAATGTATTGGCCTAGGTCAACATGTAACCCGCTCTAGCTCTAGTGCCCTAATCTTAGCTTGGTTCACTCATGCACACTTTCTTAAGGAGATATTTCTATTAATCACCTAAAGCACGAAAAACGTAATCTACTCATTCATGCATGCTTATTTGGCAGATATTCATATCAACGAGTAAGGAAATCATAATCTAAACATTCAAACAAACTCAATGGGGAAATAACACCCATTAGTCACTCATACCCATATCATTGTATCTTATCCTCCATTTTAGCACAATGAAAAGCAAAAAATTGGTATACATCATAAAATTCTCATTACAGGGGTATTTCGTTAATTTTCCTAACATATATAACATTTTCATCCAAATAACCTTTTTAGAGTCCTAAACATGCATAATCTACCACCTAAGGCAAAATATGCTCGCATGTCCTTGCGCAAGCATTACTTAAGAAAAGTAAGAATGATTATTTATATGGATGCGCATGCCTTGTCGAGCTAGCTTTTCCTTGTGTTAGGAGCTTCAAATTTTCTAAAATTTATCTAGTAGAACCTAATTCAAATCATAATGAGGTTTACATCGAAATTAGAGAAGAATAATCGAATAGAGGCCAAAACATGTAAAAACTGGAACGATACAAAGGTGATTAGCATGGCCCCTGCAGAAGGATGACACACACCAATCGAGAAATGGTCTAGATTTTTTATAAATCAGAGTGCCGCAGCGGAAGCGTGGTGGGCCCATAACCCACAAGTCCCAAGATTGAAACCTGGCTCTGATATCAATTGTAAAGCCCTTAACTTCAAGGAACGGGAGGTTACGTTTAACTAGTTGGGGCTACAATTTTGACCCTAGTTTACGTATAGGGAGTATAGGCTACAATTTTATTGATGAGTATGATGTTTCATGACGGCTACAATTTTATTGATGAGTATGATGTTTCAGGACATTTCCTTAATATGATGATATTTAGCTTACGTTTAGCTAGTTAGGGAGTATCAACCAAGTAAACTACGTGACGTTACTAGAGGATAGGCTACAATTTTATTTATGAGCATGATATTTATGATGATGTATGAGTATGATGCTTGAGCTGTGATACATGTTATATGTACGTGATTTATGTTTTGATGCAAGACGTACATATTATGTTTGATGCCCTTGATGACTTATTATTGATGAGTATGATGTTTCATGACATTTCCTTAATATGATGATGTTTTTCATATTCAGCATGCTATATAAGGATGATTTTTCATGCTATTGTTAAACTTACTTAATCATTCTTAGATGTCATGGAGGCTTATTGGGTCCTTAGGGGCATCTAGGTGATTTAGCCCTCATCTTGCATTTTTTATGATGCTTGGGTTTAGGTCTTTGGTGGCTAACCTAATCTGTGGGTGCACTCAAGTCTAGACATATGATTGCTACTCATAATCCTAGAGTGCTCGATCTATTAGAAATGTACTGACCTAGGTCAACATATAAACCACTCCAACTCTAGTGCCCTAATCTTAGCTTAGATCATTCATGCATACTTTGTTAGGAAGATATTTCTATTAATCACCTAAAGCACGAAAAACATAATCTACTCTTTCATGCATGCTTATTAGGAATATATTCCTATCAACCTGTAAGGAAATCATAATCTAAACATTCAAGCAAACTCAATGGGGAAATAACACTCATTAGTCACCCAGAACACATATCATAATATCTTATTCTCCATTCCAGCATAGCGGAAAGCATAAAAATCAATATGCATCATAAATTCTCATCCTAGAAGTATTTTGTTAATTTTTCTTAACATATAAAATATTTTCATCCAAATAGCCCTTCTAGAGTCCTAAACATGCATATTCTAACACCTAAGGAAAGATATACTTGCATGCTATTATGTTCTTAGATAAGCATTACTTGAGAGAAGTCGGAATGACTATTTATATGGATGACGTATGCCTTGTTGAGCAAGCTTTTTCTTGTGTTAGGAGCTTCAAATTTTCTAAAATTTCTGTATAACCTAATTCAAATCATAATAAGGTCAACATTGAAATCAGGGAAAAACAATCGAATATAGGTTAAAACGGGTAAAAATTGGAACGATAGAGAGAAGATTAGCATGACCTTTGTGGGAGGATGACACACACAAATCGAACAATTGTTCAAATTGTTTATAAATCAGAGTGGCGCAGCGGAAGCGTGGTGGGCCCATAACCCACAGGTCCCAAGATTGAAACTTTGCTTTGATATGAAACACATCCCCAAGACATGTTTTTGAGAGTTATGATATAAAATCATATGATACAAGGAAAATAGGAGAGAGGTTGTGCTTACTCCTTTCGAACATGTTTTTGAGAGTTATGATATAAAATCATATGATACAAGGAAAATAGGAGAGAGATACAAGGAAAATAGGAGAGAGGTTGTGCTTACTCCTTTCGGGTTTCCCACAACAACACTCAGAAAGTGTGTAATAATTCCGAGCCTCCTGACTAGAAGGGACCCATAAAGTGTGTAATAATTCCGAGCCGCCTGACTAGAAGGGACCCAGAAGGTGTGTAATAATTCCAAGCTGCCTGACTAGAAGGGACCCAAAAGGTGTGTAATAATTATGAGCCGCCTTACTAGAAAGGACCCAGAAGGTGTGTAATAATTCCGAGCCGCCTGACTAGAAAGGACCCAGAAGGTGTGTAATAATTCTAAGCCGCCTGACTAGAAAGGACCCAAAAGGTGTGTAATAATTCCGAGCCGCCTGACTAGAAGGACCGAAAAGGTGTGTAATAATTCTAAGCAACCTGACTAGAAGGGACCCAGAAGGTGTGTAATAATTCTGAGCCGCCTGACTAGAAAGGACCCAGAAGGTGTGTAATAATTCCAAGCCAAGCCGCCTGACTAGAAGGGACCCAGAAGGTGTGTAATAATTTCGAGCCGCCTGACTAGAAGGGACCCAAAAGGTGTGTAATAATTCCGAGCCGCCGGACTAAAAAGGACCCAGAAGGTGTGTAATAATTCCAAGCCGCCTGACTAGAAGGGACCCAAGACCCAGAAGGTGTGTAATAATTCCGAGCCGCCTGACTAGAAGGGACCCAGAAGTAAAGGTTGCACGATTGACGACATAAAGGTTGCACGATTGACGACGACATCACAAGTATTGACCCTGATGTATGCATAGGGTAGATTGTATTTAAATTTCCTAGAAAGGACCCAGAAGGTGTGTAATAGTTCCGAGCCTGACTAGAAGGGACCCAGAAGGTGTGTAATAATTCCGCGCTTGACTAGAAGGGACCCAGAAGGTGTGTAATAATTCTAAATACGACTTAAAATGATAGATCCCGTTCATGTTTGTATGTCTTTTCATTTTCTATCTCCAAGTCCAATAATGGGGTCACTTGCTGAGTATTTCTTAAAATACTCAAGCTACGTGCTACTTTTATATTTGAAGTAAAGGTTGCACGATTGACGATGACATCACAAGTAATGACCCCTATGTATGCATAGGGTAGATTGTATTTAAATTTCTTAGCAGGTAGCTCACGTATGGAACAAGATGGTATGCAAAGTTTGCCTTTTCGGAACAAATATTCATCTAACAACAAGTAATTATCCACAAGGAGTCCTTTTTCACAAGATTCAACAAAAGGAGCAAAGAGCATGCCATGTTGATACAAATCCTTTGTGTGTTCAAAACCCAACAACTTAGTATTCAAAGTATTGAGGACATACCTTTATGATAACGCTTGTGCAACAATGTTCTCCTTACCTTGTTTATATTTTATGACGTAAGGGAATGTTTCAATAAATTCTAACCACTTAGCATGTCGTCTGTTGAGTTTATTTTGTGCTCTCAAATGCTTTAAACTTTCATGATCTGTATGAATAATGAACTCCTTAGGCCAAAGATAATGTTGCCAGGTTTGCAATGCTCGAACCAAAGCATAAAACTCTTTGTCATAAGTTGGATACCTCATAGATGCACCAGTCAACTTCTCACTAAAGAACATTAAAGGTCTTTGATTTTGCATTAATACAGCACCTATCCCTACTCCACTAGCATCACATTAAATTTCAAAAGTTGACTCAAAATTAGGTAATGCAAGCAAGGGAGCAGAACTCAATTTCTCTTTCAAAGTGTTAAAAGCAAGTTCTTGATCTTTTTCCCATCTAAAATATACATTTTTCTTAACAAGTTCATTCAAGGGTGAAGCAATTGTACTAAAATTCTTATTGAACCTACGATAGAAACTTGCATGACCATGAAAACTTCTTACCTCACTTACTCTTTTAGGTGTAGGTCAATCTTTTACAGCTTTCACTTTCTCCTCATCAACCTCAACACCATTAGATGAAACTACAAACCCAAGAAAGTTAACTTTTTCCATGCAAAAGCTACATTTCTTTAAATTTACATACAAACATTCGTTTCTTAAAGTAGTCAAAACATTGCGTACATGGGTAATATGATCATCTAAAGATTTAGAGTAAACAAGGATGTCATCAAAATAAACAACCACAAACTTACCTAAAAACCATTCCCCAATCCAATCCGCCATTGAAGAACTTCAAAGTGAGCTTGAAAATTCAATTCGAGCCTACACACAAGTTCGTCGACCAAGATAAATTCTAACACCTCCCAGAAGTATTTTCATAGAAGATCGCGAAGAAAAATAACCTCAAGAACGTTCCCAATTGAAGGAAATCCGTTTCTGGTAGAATTTGGGGGTAAGTGCTGAATTCCTATCTACGATCCGAATGTAGCGTTTGTTGATACAAACACTCTGTTTTCTTGATGGTCATAAAACAAACCACCTTTCGTTTCTTTGGAGTATCCTACGAATAGACATAATTTTATTGGACATTTAAATTTATCTAAACTATACGGTTAGTCCCCGACAAACTTTCAACTTTATATCTATTTGGTCAATTTCTAATAGGTCTCTAAATTTTCATTTTTTTTAAGTTCAACATTTTAGGAGTAAGAAATTGAACTAACAAACTTTGTGATCTTATTTCATACCTTATCTACTAAATTATGCTTAGGGTAGTTCATACCAAATAATATTTTGACCCATAACATAATACGAAAAATTGTATGTTTAGTGGGAGAATTTATGGGTCAAACTAAATTGAGTTTATTGTGATGAATTAGTTTTGTATATATGAGAATATTTAAGTTTAGTTTGTTCCACCTTTATACGAGTAAAATGAGGTTTAATTGTCAATTACTCCCACCGAAATGAAAGAAACATATTATCGTTATATTCGGATAGGTAACCACAATATTAACAAATGTTTTTATTTATTATTAGTAGCATTTTAGTTATTTTGGAAAAATTACCAATCCGAGCTATTGTTAACCATCTATCATTGGTAGCAACACGTGTTCTAAAGTGTAATGCAATAGTCCTTTAAATTTAAAGTTGATGAACAAGGATGACGTTTCAATATTTTATATTCTTGTTGTAAATGAGGGCAATTACCGACATGTTTCGAAATGAGTTCTTCTTATTGTTTATAATAAAAATATAACCATGTTTGATAACGGTTTTTTTAATTAAAAAATATATATTTAAAATTCGTATAGGTATTATAGAAATGCCACTTGATTGTTAAGCAACCAGGATACTATCTCATGTAGACCATTAGGATAGTCCTTGGTTTTTAAGCAACCGTGACTACCCTAACCCTAGAGGAGCTCAAAGTTATCACTTTATTAAGTAATTAGGTTACTATGTTATGATAAACTTTAGAATGGACCATTTATTTTTAAGCAACCTGGTTACTATCTTATTTTTAATAAGTAATTTGGATGCTTTCCTAAATTAGGAATTAGAATGAGCTCGTCCTCAGACTATGACTTTTAAGTAATTAGGAGACCACCTTAATAATATGCACAAAGAATGCTAAGAACAAATAACCAAGTTTTTAAGACTCCGAAACAAAAGAAACCTCTATTTTCTCATGGTAAACCATGACTCAAACTACACCGCTTTGAGTGTAAGAAGTTTTCGATGAAGGTTTCAAAATACGCCACCTGGAATATTTGAAGTCTTGAGCATAGGTATTCAAACTATGTCATTTGGAATGTAGAAGTCTTGGGCATAGGTTTTTAGACAGCATCACTTGAAACATATGAAGCCTTGGACGTAGGTTTCAAATTACACCGCATGGAACATAATAATCCTTTGGTGTTGGTTTCAGATTGTGCCGCAAAGAATTCATTAAACCCTTGATACATGTTCAGACGATGTGTCTTGAAACACATGAAGCCTTGGACGTTAGTTAAGACTGTGTTGCTTGGAATGCATGAAGTCTTGGACACAAGTTATCAGGTTCATGTCTTGTACCATAAATCCAAGGGGGAGTGTTTTAAGAAACACAATAAGAAGCAAGAACAATAAATACAAACAAGAACCAAGAACAAGACTAGAAAAGGACTAGAACAAGAACTAAGAACTAAGGTTACAGACTAGAACATGGATCAAGATCTATGTTATCACAATTAAGAATCCAGAACCTTAGAGCTCAGGTTAGTTAATATGATGTTATGATTATTTTTCACAAATGTAAGAAATGTTAAAAAGAGGAAAATAAAAGTTAACAAATATGAAATAAAAGTTTTACCTTGTGAGCATAGATCAACTCGATGAGGCCGGCTACTACATTTACATCGAGCGCAGGCTGTTCAAGATTTGGGACGATCGACAATGGCTCCTCACTCAAGTTTGGCGCATTGCAAACTACCTCTGCATTATGGAGTTGAAGATAAAATAGTCGGTCAGCCTCTCGGCTAGGACCGAAGAAGCAGTTTGGAGGTGGCATGCAAGGTATGGGCACCTGATCTTTCCTGCTCTACTAAAACTACACAAGGAGGAGATGGTGTACAATTTACAAGCAATTGAGGGCGTAAACAAGCTGTGCAATGGGTGTCTCATTGGCAAGCAGAATCGCACCCCTTTTCAGTCTCAAGCATCCTACTATGCCGGTTAGCTGTTGGAGCTCGTACACGGTGATCTCTACGGGCCCATCAAGCCAGCGACCCCAGACGGCAAGACTCTCTTCCTCCTGCTAATCGATGACAAGAGCCGCTTCATGTGGCTGATCCTACTGCAAGGGAAGAGTGAGGTGAGGGAAGCGATTAAGTGCACTCAAGCGCGCGCGGAGGCCGAATGCGG